GTTGTTTGTTTCAGAACTTTCCAGTCTCCAAAAGCAGCAACACTGTTTGACAAATGTCCGAAGGTCCAGCAGATGTGCAGAGCACTGGTTTAGGTTTGAACTGACCGAGGAGGGAGTGCCAATCAAACAGAACCAGGAGTTCAGAACTTTATTTCCTACGATCTCTGAGCTAAACGAGCTGATACTCCACACTCACACATGGAAACCCTCTCGTGCCAACAAAACTACAGTGTGTTTACACACACTGAGTTTATGTGCAAGTAACGCGATACACTTGCATGGGGGTCCATCTCATGTGAAAAGAGTGAAGAAGTACAAACGGCTTGGTTGAAGTGGTAGTGAGCACAAAGGGGGTAACATTTCACCCTTAACTTTTAAGTCTCTAAATCCAAAGCACTTTTTGTGGTAATATTAAAACATTCTCAGCTAAGCTCATTACCAGTCTGATGAAAATATGAGCTAAAAATCACAGAGGACTGAAGGACAGAGTTACTGAACCTAAACATGTTATTTGGACAAAGAATATGGACCAACGGCAGTACTATATGAAATTTAAGTGTTAGCGTTCCTTAAAGGACTGCAAATTGCCCTTTGATGACAGAATATTGGTTCACTTTTTTCCCAAATGTTGGCATTTTGTAGCTATTTTGTTCAAGCCTAGATAATGAGATTGTGTGCAAACTTGTGACATGTCACACTCATAGTAGGTGAGTGTTGTAACAACTCCACAAAATTTGAGCTAAATAGCAATAAAATTGACTGAGTCATATCCATTTATGTTTGCCACACTCGATTAGCTGTGGTGGCCATCTTGAGTTCTCTCCAAAAGTGAATCTGATGTAGATGCACATCCAGCAATTAACTTTTAAACACTTAATTATAATCTGCACTGGTTCATGAGATATTTTGCTAAAATGGCAAATAGACAAGAACACTCATAGAGGCAAAAACCTTATTGCCCACCTTTTGCTTTCCTGCAGTGCGCAATAGGACTCCAGATACTTTATGCAAAATTTTAAATAATAAACTTGGTAACTTGGAGCTAATGGGTAGTTAACAAGTACTTACTGGGAAACAGTTACCATACCTTGTAAATGAAGAGGAACTCATCAAGAACTAATGGGAATTTACCAAGAAAACAAAAGAGAAACAAACCAGGAGCTAATGGATAGATAATCAGTACTTAAGGGACAACAGTTACCTTGTAAATGAAAAGTAACTAATCAATAACTAATGGGTAGCTACCAAGTAAACCAAAAAGTAACAAAGCAGGTGTTAATGGGAAATTAACCAGTAATTACTGGGGAACACACAGCCAAGACTTATTAGGGGAGTACTGGTTAGTTACCTTGCAAATCAAGAGGAACTAATCAAGAACTAATGGGTAGCTAACCAGTACTTACACAGCTAAGACTTATTAGGTACTTAGTATGATGCTTCACTACAACAGTGAACAATATAATAGCCAGACAATGGTTTGGCACTCACTAAGTGATAGTCAGACATAGTTAAGATGACAGCTATACAAGATTATGAAATTACTAATCAGTGGTAAGAATCCAATAAAATCAGTAATCACTAGGAAACAGGGTTTTGACAATTACAAGCTGTGACATCACTGGTGCAGGGTTTTTTCATTACCCACGTGGAGAATTTCTCCTTTGTTTCTGTGGTAACAAACCAGTTATCTGCTAATAAGGCTTGGCTGTGTTCTCCAGTAAGTACTGGTTAACTACCCATTAGCTCCGGATTAGTTTCTCTTTGGTTTCTTGGTAACTACCCCATTAGTTCTTGATTAGTTCCTCTTCATTTACAAGGTAAACAAGTAATTCCCTAATAAGGCTTGGGTGTGTGTTCCCCAGTAAGCACTGGTTAACTACCCATTAGCTCCTGATTCGTTCCTGAGGTGTTCCCTAGTAGTTAATCAAATTTTGTGTACCTTATTGTAAAGTGTTACAAAAAATTGTGTATTTCTTGTTTAAATTGTGGGGAAACGTATTAGGAATCTATACATATTGTCTCAATTTTCAAAAGACCATAAATTGTGATGATGGGTATATTTAAAGCATTTAAAAAAATGTTTTTTTAAGTCATTTGTGTGCACATTTGTTCATGTCTGCATTCAAAC